CTATGTAGCCAGATCCACCCGTCCTTGACCACCGTGATCATGATGAGGCTGCCAGGCCCAGCAAAAGTTGCAGAGGCTGCTGCAGCTACTGTAGCAGAAGGCCTGGGGCATGGGTAAAGGTGGTTGTGGCATGGGGCCATGAGTTGAGGAAGCTGAATTGCAGGTCTGGAAAGGGATTTTCTGTTAAGATCCCTCCCAGTTGTCATTGGCTCCTGGAGGGGTTGTGGTGAGGTGTTTCAAATTTTGAACCACGGCGTACATCTGGAAGGATAATGAATTGTGCCTATTCACCAAAAATGACATTAAAATGGCTAACAAACATATGGAAAAAATGCTAAAGATACCTTGCCATCTGAGAGATGCAAATCAAAACAAAGGTGAGATATCACCATATATACCCAATGACAGTCCAGTTGCAAAACAAAACAGAAAATAACAAATACTGGAGAGGGTACATAGAGACTGGATCTTTTACAGTCTACTGATGGGCTTGTAAACACGTACAACAATGGTGGAAAGCGATATGTCACTTCCTTAAACAATTGTGAATAGAAATACCACAAGTTACAGCAATACCTCTACTGGGTATATACCCCACAGAAGGAAGAGAAATGACACAGATATATGGCCTCCTATGTTCATCACAGCAGAGATCACAATAGCAAGAAGCTAGAAACAGTCCAAATGTCCATCAGTAGAACAATAGGCAAAGAAACTCTTGTGCATGCACACGATGAAATACCATGACCCTAAAAAACAGTGAAGCCATGAAGCACCTCAGTGACATGGATGAACCTGGAAACCATTGTTCTGAGAAAAGTTAATCAGTTACAAAAGGAAAAATATTGTATGAGGCCACTACTATAAAGATAAGCACCAAGCTGAAGACATGCAGCTGTACTCAGGTTATATAATCTTCCAATTTGGTCTCCAAAGCAAGGACGGATGTGCCCACCTAATGCTCATGATCCATATATCACCCCCTCTTTTGTGCATCCTAAAAACAAGTTAGACAGAGGAGGCCTCACGCTACTGGCTCCGTTTATCATGTTGTGGGGGGAAGACTCATCAGCTCTTGCTGTATAACTTTCACTTCAAATCAAGAGACACTCCTGTGCGGTGTTCAGTGAGCCCTAATGGAACTTCAAGTCATGAGGTGGTAGGGTCTGGGAAGTGGTGAGGTGGGGTGGGCGATGAAGTTGGAATGGGGACATGTGTGTCTCAGAGAAGGTGAGTTCACTTCTGTGGTGGGTAGACCAGTTGGTGTAACCTGCCATTGGGAAAAATGCTTAATGTTACGTATATAGACACCCAATGGGAGAATACTCCTGGTATTATTAATTGGGCACTTTTGATCTACTTTCTAGCTAGTCCTTGATATTCAAGCCACAAGGACTTTAGACTCTGTCTTTTCGAGGTGTACAACATCCTTTGTAGGTCATATCAGAAGAATCTGATTTGGAAATCCCACTACAGAGAACTAGACTTTTACTTAAGCTTACCTGTAGCAGATAAAAGAAACTGAAATATTCTGCTGAACTTAAGGATGAAATATTCTAGTATAAGAAGAAGCAGCTGACTACTATATACCAAAGTTGTGGATTTAGAAGTCATAGGACTTTGGTTCAAATTTCTTGCTTTAAGGATGCCCAATAAATGGCAACTTAATACTACACTATATCGGCTATTTCCATAATCTCTTTGCTTTTTATGACATGCCTAGTCCAACAGGCATAATTATGCATTTGTGAATGAGTGTTCTTGAAAGTTTTGCCCTATCTCCAATTCCCATTGTTTGTGTAAATAGTGTTAGTCACTGAAGTTTGTCATTTATACAAGTCAACAATCCATGTGTTTTTTGTCTAAAAAGCTGTCCTATTTATGTATACTTTCTGTACTCAACACCATTCTAAATTCTATATCATTCGAGAACGTGATACTATCAACACAATTACCACATGCTCCATGGGGATGGTTAATAATGTCCATCAATAAAATGATAATGATGTTTCTAAAGTGGACCAGGGAGATTATATATATATATATATATATATATATATATACCACAGGCTTAGAATGAATGAATTTTGAGCTTGAACTCAATTCTAACCCTAATGTAAGAACAATTAGTTCCTATTATGTAGTCCTACTGGAGATATATATATATATATCACAGGCTTAGAATGAATGAATTTTGAGCTTGAACTCAATTCTAACCCTAATGTAAGAACAATTAGTTCCTATTATGTAGTCCTACTGGATGCTTCCCCTCATGAAAAGATCACTAAAGATAGGGTGCTATAACAAAGTGTGGTGAAGAAACTAGGTGGTGCCAGGCTATGAGAAAGAATAGCAACTGGAGTCTTAAAGGCAAGTCTTAAAACAAGCAGTGAAGCATCAGCTAAGTGTACAAGGAAGCAAGGAAGAAGCACACCAGCAGCCTGTATGACCCGAAGATTGCAAGTAATAAAATCCAAGACCAGAGGAGGAAACAATATTAGAACTTAAATTATAAGCACCCAGTTTTCAGAAGGTTATGGATAACAGTAAAACTCCAAAATCCATTTGTAGTGTCCTTATGTGGACAAAGCTTCCAGTGAGTCCCTTTTGACCACTGACCAAGGATGAGAACGGCTTTGCTCTTCACATATATAGAATACACTGTAAAGTGAATTAGTGCAGACATAATTAGGTTACAATTTAATACCTTATCATTTGTTCTCCATTTTGATCCATTTAAAATTTGTTCTTGTGTTTATTATTTTCTGGGGTTTTTTCAGATTAAAGTTTTTTTCTGCTTTAATTTGTGTGTGTGTTCTGTATGTCTTTCTTTATGTGAAATTTAGGCTAGGTTAAATCTATAGGAAGGATTTACTGAATTAATCATTTCTTAGGGTTATGGCAGGGGAGGTTGGGGATAAATGGGGAGCTAATAACAATCGATACAAGAAAGAAGAAAATGTTCTAATAGTGATTGTGGTGATATTGCACAACTATTTAATATATTTAAACTGTTGAATTATCTGATATGTGAATTTTATATCAATGAAACTGTTAAAACTTTTACAGAAAGAAATTCGTAATAGGGGAAAAAGTGGTGAATTTTGTAAGGGTGAATATTTTATTTTACCTCTAACTTGCTCCAAGCTCTCCTTCTCTTTTATCTGAGAGAAAAACACCTTCGAGATTCCAATCACTAGAGTCATGAATCTCCTATTCAGGTCTCATCAAGTTCCAAAGATCAAGGGATTGTGCCTTGATGTTTATGAGACAGAATCTCAAAAGGCATGCACATGGTTCCCATCAAGCATCTTTGCTTGGGCTGCTCAACATCGCCTTTTTATTCTTATTGTTCCCTGACAAGGCTGGTCACACTTCCTTGCCTGGTCACATCTCTGTCATTAGCAATACCTAGGCCATATTCCAACATACCCCAAGTCCACAATGGAACCATCATGGCCTCACAGAAACAGAGCACCAAGTTCCAACATATTGCTATCTATTTCCCCTAATAGCCCCAGTCAAATATTAGGGTTTCCTATTTCAGATAATATTTGTTTTATTTCTCAGTAAGTTCACCAATCCTCATGCTGTTTCTATGCTAATGAATCAGCTTAGATTCCAGAAGTTTGGCATCCAATCTTTTACTGTAAGAGTCTTAAAACTACTATTGTGATTATGTCCATCACCCATTATAGAGTTAATCCCAATCCATAGTGACAACAATGGATAGGGGTATGAATATTCTATAGGGCTTCCAAGACAGTGAAATTTATGGAATAAGAATTCTACATATTTCTTCCACATAGTGGCTGGTGAGTTCAAATCACTGACCTTTAGGATAGCAGCCAGCACTTAACCATAGCACTACTATCATGATAGCTTTAAGACAATTCTTCCTGAACACTTTTTTTGTGTGTGTGAATAAATATATTTTTTAACTTTTATTCTGAATTGGGTCAAAGTTTACAGAGTGGATTATTCAACAATCCATATACAATTTGTTTTATGTCATTCCTTAAAATCCTTCAATATAGCATTATTTAACCCACTTTCTCCCGGTGTTTCCTGTTTCCATTCCCCCTTCTTTCCTAATATGTCTGAACATTACACTTTGGTGAATGCTTCCCTATGGATCTCACATGGTTGATTATTCTAAGGTGTATGTATCTCATTAGTTTTCATAGTTGCCTTGTAGACCCACCCTTAAGGCAGAAAATGGGAGTCATGGGTGTGAGTTCATTCAAGAACTGAGGAGTTGATTAATGTTCATAGTCTCAGGGATTCCGCCAGTCTATCTGACCAGTAAGCCTGGTCTCTTTTAGGATTTTGAGTTAGGGACCACATTTTCATGCTCTATCCAACCTAAACACTTTGATTATAACACTGTCCATAGACAATTTTTAATATCTCCATTTCTTTCCATTTATAAAATCAAAGTTATTTAGGTGGTTTGCAAAGATCCTCATGATCTGACCCACTTCTATCCATTTCATCTTCATTCTTTCAATATTCTGTCTACCACCATCTTTTCTGCAATTTGTCACCTTCCAGCTGTGCAATCTCGGCAGGGGATCATAATGATCTCAAGCTAATATAACTCCTTATCTCCAACACTAGGCTCATTTCTTCAGCAAAGATTTCCTGACTCCTTATTGATTTATTGATACTAATATATATATATATATATAAAACATCACATGATCTCAGACATCTTAAATGTGTTTTTTTTATGTCTGTTGTTATTTCACATTTGTTAATTGTGGCTTTGCAACCAAATTTACATTCCTTTAAAGTAGGGCCAGAATTATATTAGTTTTGCTTTTTAAAAATTTCAATAGTGATTATTTCATTTGTCTAACGTGATGATGAACATGCCACAACATTTCATAAGTGATTCATTAATCAGGGCAAGAGTTTGAATAGTGAATGACGGGAGTAGACTTGAAGAGCTAAACAAATACTGCAAGAGAAAACAGATCGAGTGGAAGTGAACTTACCAGAGAAGACACTAGGTATCTTGGAAAGAAAGCTTTTGACTGTACGAATAGGAATTCCATTTTTTTCATCTTGCATTCGGGCTATGACATCTTCCATCTAAACAGTAATAATAATATAATTAAAATATTTTTAAAATCATAAGCCAAAATTATAGAAATCAGTGTTAGATGCTACCTTTGCTAAACTAAATGATGTCATTCTTGCCTTGGAAGACTTTACAACATCATTAATATGTTCCATTTGGTTAAGTTGATAGAGAAAACAGAAACAAAGGCCACCTCAGGATCCATCAAATTACTAATAGGAAGTTTATGCTTTGAATATTGCCCCCATCCTGTTTTCATACTCTTTGGTTATAAAAGTTGTTAGAGACTATTTTTTTGAGGTTGTTATAAACAATTTTCATAGTAAAAAAAATCACACTTTATTGTTATCTCAATTGAATTTAGTGAAAAGAAAATTGAAGCCCAATAGTCATCTACATTTGTTTAAAGTATATTTTGCAGGATGTAAAGTTTTTCTCAATGAGAGTTTGTTGTAAAGTAAAACCATAACATCTACTGTCTAACACTATCTTCATCCCACCCTAAACAAGTATCTGTTGTTGTTGGACTCCAGTTCAGGGCGACCCTAAATATAACAGAAGAGACACTGTGCCATCTCACAATGCTATGTTTGAGACCAGTGTTACAGCTATCATGTTGATCCATCTTATCAAGTTTCCTCTTTTTCACTGATCCTCTAGGTTACCAGGCATGATGTCCTTCTCCAGTGACTAGCCTTTCCTGATAGTATGTCCAAAATCTGTGAGATAAAGTCTTGCCAACCTCATTTCTTAGAAGTGTTCTGGCTGTACTTCTTCCAACACAGATTTTTTTTTCCCTTCTGGATGTCCATCGTATATTTAATAGTCTTTGCCAAAAGACCTAGCGCATCTTTGGGAGCAAAAATTAATATAAGACACTGTCTAATTTTCGGGGAAACAGGATATGTATTTATTTTTAAAAAACAAGTTGCACTGAATGAGATCAGGTGGGTAAGGTACAAGGGGTAAATGAGGCATGCTGTTTTTTGCTAAAAACTGTGTTGTTGCTAAAAACTGTGCATTGAGCAAGTGTATTGTTGTGATTGCAAAACCCATCCCCCCTCTGCCACAAATCAGGACTTTTGGTCCCTCACTGTTATGCTATCTTTCCAGAACCTCTAAAGAGAAAGCATGATTAACAGGCTGACCCGGTGGAATGAACTTGAAATGCACTGAGTTGACATTTTGGACCATTGGGAAGTTGACGGGCATTTTGAATGAGATTTGTCAACAATTGACATTTCACTTTTTTAGAAATGGAAAAACCACTTTTACACTTGAGTTTTTCCCATAGCACTATGCTTGTAAGCTGTGTTCAGCATCACAAAAAAATCGAGGCATATTTCTGGAGCAGAAAACAAAATTTTATAACCCAAGCTGCTCTCTTAAATCATCCATAGAAAAAAAAGTTCAAGTGAAACTGCTTTTACAAAAAAAGTTATTGTGACCCAAGAGAACTTTCCCAGGCAATGTCACTGGGTGCACTAACTCAGAGCAAGTTGCTGGATGCTTGCCTAGAGGGGGAAAATGCATACTACAAAAGCTTCACCCAGCAGAGCTTTTTATGGGTTTTTTTTTTGGGGGGGGGGTACAACTCATATATCATTAGTAATAAGTACTACATACAATGTTGCATATGGTATTTGCTGATATTATCATTCTCATGACAACTCCAAGAGAGAAGTAATGATTTATAAAGACACTAATAATAAAAGTTAATTATAATTAAAACTAAAAAGAAAAAGAGATACTCAGGGAGAACAGGGAAGATGGCATCTAATTAAGACTCACATACCCGGAGCTCCTGCTGCCAGACCAGAAAATTGGGAGGTAAGGTGAAGGAGACAGGGAGGCAGAGTCCGGAAATTAGAACTAGGGTCTGTCCTGAACCCCACTTTTGTGTGATTTGCACTGACAAAGCGAACCAACAATGCACTAAATCACTCTAAGTTTGGCATGCTGGGCTTATGGGCTACAGCTGAAGAGCTACCTACACCCCTTTGCAGTGAGTAGTGATTTCCCTGGGCTGAAACCCTATAGGGGACACAATCCCAGACATGAGGAAAACCTCTGAAACCTTATCACAGAACCCCACAGCAGAGCTCCCTAAGCTGTTAGCTGCCTGGAGCTCATAGTCTGGGGAGCAGGGTCAGGGAGCCATAATTTTGGAGTAGAAGAAAAAGCAGGAGTTTACCTGAGCCACGTCATGGTGTAGCAGAAAATAAGAGGATATTCATAACCCAGGGGCAAATTCAGTTCCAGTTGGCTGAGAAGAAAACAACTTCCCTGATAAGCTGGATCTCACCCTCTAGGGGTCAGTGTGACAGTCCCGAAATCAGGGCAACTCATAACCCCAATATTAAAAAGGAAGAAAAAATATATTTTGGGTAAAAATCTGCAAATCTGAGGCTTATTGTTCAACTACAAGGAAACCTATAGAAGTCCCTTAGCATACATTAGTATAAGAGGGGAACCCATGCTAAGGAATCCCAGAATTTAGTGAAGCCTAGAAGCTTTCAACATAACAAAGACCCTCTGGAGCAAGTCTAAGTTTCTAACTGAGCACACAGCTGGAGCCCAGAGCCAGGAAGCCAATTTAATTTAATTCTATTCTAGCTGTCAAAGGGAGAGGAAGGAGGGCGGGCACAAAACAAAACAAAACAAACCACTGAGGTAGTAGGCCATCAGCAGTCTAGATAGGACAATAAGCCCAGCTCCCCTCTTAGTGATTCTACACACAGCTGGGGAGGTCCTGCCTGTCCTAGGGCCATACACAGGGCTGAGGGAAAACCCTGCCCCGCACCCTGCTGTAGTGCTACATACAGCAGGTATACCAGTGAACTACAGCACCCAATACCACAGTGGGAACTGACGCCTGGCCACTGCTAAGATCTTGTCTTCTAAGGTAATCCCAACCAGCATCTGTGAGACATTACACCAGGAGGGCACACCACCCCACTACCTTGAGATAGAATTGGAACTACTCCAGCCCCATGGCCAGGTAGGTGACCGATCAAGCCTCAGTTATCTCCTAACTTACCACTCTATTACTGCTTTCGTAACTCTCTAGCCCTTCTATCTTTCCCACTGCAGTCGCTCTCAACAGGCTCAGTTTTGTTTTGGTTTTTTCTCTTTTTCTTGATTTTTTATACTTTTTTTGTCTCTTTTTCCTCTTCTTCCCCTCTTTCCTATCATACGCCACTGCAGGCTTACAGGCCATTACCCTCGACCTAGGGCAACTCAACCCAAATAGCAGCGGAAACCCCAGCCTATCCTCTATGGGAGTGCTGCACACCACACGGGACAGCAGTGCCAGACCTATGCAGGGCTCTGTACTGCTGAGGAAACCTCTGTCAGGCCTTTAAGGTGATCTTACCAACTAGGGCAATTCCATTCACTGGATCCCTTCACTAAAAGGGCTCAACAACCTGCTATCTTGGAGCAGACTTTAAACCCCTCAGGCCCCATATTCAGGAAATCAGGGATCAGCTATCTCTTTATTCTTTATTTTTACCTTCTCTCTTTACCATCACAGTCCATCTTAGTGAGCACAGTTGTGTTTCTCCCCTTCTCTTTCTTTTCTTTTTGTTTATGTCTTCTCTCTCTCTCTTGGTTCTCCTCTCTTCCTGTTGTCTGTTTCTCTCCTACCCCTCTCTTTCCTTCCACATGCCACTGCTGGTACCCAGACCCCTACACTATGCCTGGGACAACTCTGCCCACCCAATGGGGAAAGCTACAGCCTGCCTCCTGTGACAGTGCAGCACATGGCACAAGGCAGTGCTACACACAGCATAGCACAGGGCTCAGCTAACTCTTTATTTTTTTCTTCTGCGCTTTTTTCTCTTTCTTTTATTCTTCCACATTTTCTTCTTTTCCCTCTTGTTTTACCTCTTTTCTCTTTACTTCCAGGATCTCAGCAGATTCAGATTTCCTTTTATGTTCTTTCTTTTCTTGTTGTTTTTAAATTGTGTTTAGTCTTTGCATTTTTTTGTGTGAGTGGGGGATACTTTGATTGATATTTTTGTTCCTGTCTTTGTTTTCTTCTCTTCTCCATCTCTTTCATTCACAAGCCACTATCGGCCTCCAGGCCACTTCCCTCTGCCTAGGTGGACTCTGAAGGCCCAATTGAAAGAGCTCTGGTCTGCATTTGTTGGCTTTATACAGAGCTGGAAAAATCATGCCAGTCCTATATACAAAGCTGGTGGTTCTCCCCTTCAAACAATTGGAGGAATGACAGCCTAAAACCCGAGGCTATAGAAGTGACTGGGGGAAATCATGCCCATGGCTGGCGGTGCTCCACGCTGCCAAAGGAACACCTGCCCAAACTCTGTGGCGATTATCCTGACTAGGGTAATTCCGTCTGCCAGCTACAGTGCTCCACACCAAGGAGGGTATACCCACACACCCTTCGTCGCACTCCAGATGCAGAGGGAAACACCATTCAAGGCGTTCCACGCACCGTGAGATCAGCCAGTAAAAAATCACCCTCGTGGGCCCACAACAACCCAACCAGCATAAAATGAGAGGACTATCCAACTCACATTCCATATAACAGAATACTGGTCAGCGAAGGCATGAAAGAAACCACAGCCGCAGCCTGATGCCCAGTACAGCTACCTGCAGGTGGTTCGAAGAAGCACTAAAAACGAGTTCCCTAAGAGAGATTCCAGTGCTCTTCGACTCTGAAAGATGGCTCCAAGTCCCTCTAAAAGAGATAAATAGCAACCAGCCCCAAAAGCCTCAATGAAAAAGAAGGAGAAGGAGAAGACAATGCAGGAAGAAGTCATGAACCTAATGATGTGCTTGGAAGAAGTAGATAATGATCTGCAACAGAAATTTTTAGAATGCTGCTTGGAGTCGTACAGGATATAAGGGAATCAGTACAGAAAAGGGATGAAATGATAGAGGAGATAAGGCACTGTGATAAAGGGAAATACAAGACTTACGGGATGAAATAATAAAATCCAGTGGCAAATTGATAGACCTTGCCAACAGTCTTAAGGAGACAGAA